CGGATGCTGGAGCCCCATTCTCATTGTACCCAGCACTTTTGCAGGGAAAAAGTTGCCATCAGAAGTCAGTGTTGCTTCACTGACTTTACTCGAGCTCTCTTCTGAGCGAATGGCCCTTTTTTCTCCCTCATTTATGCCCTCTGAGGGTCTGGTCTGCAGGTTAGGGGGTGATATGGAGCACAAGGTGCTTCACTCTGGGCAGGATCTGGGAGGAATGGGCAATCCCATGCAGCTCCAAGCATTCTTGGTGCCAGGACCATTGCAAAGTGCATCTGACTCTGCTGGACTTGAGCCACAGACTTTTTGTCCCAGCTGCTGCAACTGGTGCTTGTGTGAGGTCTGGGAGAGCTGTTATGTGTAGGGGGACGGTACTGCAAGTGGAGTGCTCCATGTCGCATCTCAGGGGTTGATTTAGCTAAAGGTATTGTGGGGACTTCAACTGAGAGTTGGCAGAAGAAAGGGGAAGATGGATCTGGAGGAACTACCCATGAGTGAGATGGGTCTCAGGCTTGCCCATTGTCCTAGGGCCTGGGGATCTAGCCTGCTCTCCATCTGACTTATTTCTTTCTCTGCTGGGAAGGAAGGTGGGGCTGAGATCTAATCCCATTTCCAAGAAAAACCAAAGTCCAAGATTTACAAAAGCTTTCTCAGGGCCCAGGCCTTGCAAGCTGTTACCGCTTCCCTTTTGTGCTGCGGCCAGCATGAGGCTGGATTTATGGCTGATCTGCACAATTCCTCATCTAATCCAGAGCAAATAAACTAGAGGTTTGGAACCGGGCAGCATCTCTCAGGGAAACCTGTTGCTACGGGGGAGGTGTGAGCACCCCTGGGGGGTCTCTTCAGGCCTGGCCTCAGGTTGCCCAAAGGCAGCTCGTGGGAATAGCCTGGTGGAGGGGTCACACTGGCTCTGCAGTGGGGCTGTTTATCTGGTATTTGACCGGCAAAGCGGAGTTGATGGCAGGGGAGTCTGTGGGCCATGGTGACATTCAAGACACACGCCTGTTTGAGCAAAGGGCTGCAAAGCTGTCACCTCTTGTTTCTGTATTCCTCAGCACTGCTGATGATTACAGCCCGTGTCGGGAGGCTCAAGTTGAGTGGTTTTGCTTTGCCGGTGTCCACGAGGCAGGGGCTTTACGCTAGCTCAAATTCTGGCTGTGCGTACGTGCATGTGTGCGTGAGATGCACAGTAGAATTGCCCCTTCCACCTCTGAGGGTGGAGGGGTGTCTCTACCGTAGGTACTTATATGGCCCCATTACTGCAGTATATTCATGTGCTAAATGTATAAGCAGAAGATTTCTCTATCTATAGTCAGCTTCATCCTCCTGCTAGCTCCGTGCTGTTGCATCCGGTGTCCGTGATAGCGTGACTAGGCCTGTGTGCAGAAGTGTTGGCCCCTGGAGAGGCCACCCAGGGCTGGCTGGCAGCTGATGCTAATGCAGGCCCATTTCTAGCATGGGGCTCCTCACCCTGGATACTCATTGGTTCCTCATTAAGCAGCAGGTCACAGATGCTGTGTTACTGCGGGTGCTTGTGAGAAGGGGGCTGTAGTTGTTGGCTTGCGTGGGTGGTTGCTGGATGGCTGCATTTTCCTTGAGTTGAAGAACAGGAACAGTGAGGCAGTAGGGGCAGAGCTCTAGGCAGTGGAGGGGGCTTTGGGGGCTGAATACTTGGGAATTTCTGCCCCCAGTGATGGCAGTCCACCCTGGCCCTCGTGGAAGAACAGGCTGCCTTTCCCATAAGTTGTGCAGAGAACGCCTGGAAGTTTGGGCTTCAAAAAAACCAATGTCACAAAGGAGCAGAAGAAAGCTGCGGTGGGTCTGGCCACAGGGGTAGGGGCTGGGAGCTCCCGCGTGGTAGTCCTAGCTTTGCCACTGATGTCACGCGACCATGGGTAACTCATTTAGTTTCCCTCTGCCTCAGCCTTGGTGCCAGCAGCAGCACTCGGTCGTGTAGACTGTGTCGGCCAGGGGCTCGGAGAGGTCAGGCTGATGGCCGGTGTAGAACCTGATTTCAGTGGAGCTATGCTGATTTACACCAGCTGGGGTTCTCGTCCAAGGAGAATAATCTTCCTTCTCTGGGCTAATTAGGGAACGTTTGCAAAGCTTGAGTGTTAAATACTGTTTGTGTTAAAATCGCTGTAGACTTTGTTGCTGGCTTCTTCAGCATGAGGAGTTTAATTGCAACAATGCAAATCTTCCAGATGTCCCCTCCTTTGTTGTTGTTTTCTTCTTTTAATCTCTTTTCTGCTGGCAGGTTTGTGGTTAATGGGCCTCTGGCTTGCGGCTATTAATGACATTTAATTATCTCTTATTTACCAACCATCATTAACTTGAGGGAGCAAACATGGGGCCAGCCCATGTGCCGGAGCCAACCTTGAAGGAGCAGCAGAAAAGAAATGAAATTTTCTTGGCATGTAGAAAAATGTACCAAGATAGTAACGCACAGTACAAAACACTTCAGTCAATAAGATCCCTCCTACACAAAGGATGCATTCATTTGGCTAGAAGGACTTGAATAAACTCAAGGGATTTAATCTGTTCTATCCTTTTGCTTCCTTTACTTTCAAGAACCCAAGCGCGTATCTTCCTCATTATGTTTTCTTAGATCGGTTTTTTTTTTGCTTGCCGTCTTTTTTTTATAATGCCCCCAGGGAAACGCCACACTGAAATCTGTCCACCCACGGATGTCGTTTTTACCAAGCCCCACACTGGCTTGTTTTCTCAGGCTCGCTGATGTGTGCCGACCTTCCGGTGCTGACTGTTTTTCTTGGAGGGTCCCTGTAGGACAGGGTCCCACATGCTTGCATGTTGGGTGCTTCTTGTAAGGGCACTGGTTTGAACTGGGCACGCTGACTTGTTGCTGTAGGGCCGTGACTCTCAACCAGGGGGCTGCAGTGTGCAAACACCTTCACAAGATAAACCCAGAGATTTCAAATAAGAATCCACGGTGGCAAAGACGCTCTGCCCTGCTGTGGGCTTTCTGAGTCTTTGCAACAGAAGGATTGCTTGATCATACTTCTGTAGTCAAGAAATGAGAGAGAAAGCCTGGTGTTTTTGGAGGGGTGCCTTGAAGCTAACAAGGGGGACTTGGCGTGTAGAAAGGTTGAGACCCCTTGCTACAGGGCAGCTTGTATGTGTAGCGATTGCCCCTGTAGGCTTGCTGCTATGTTTGAGGGATGTGTCCTGGGGGTACTACGTTATGGATGGGTTTCTTGAAAGCACTGGGGGCTGCTGGCGTTGACTTCTTTGTCCCTTTCCTCCCTTGGAAAAAAAAAAAAAAAAGGAGCCCTGAATCATTTGCTTGTTTTTGCAGAAAATCTCTGTAAAAAGAGAGGCATGGGCCATACCAACAGCTACAAAATCCCCACTGAAGGGTGGGTGCCCTGACCCCAAGGGTGCCCTTTCAACCACATGCTTATTTCAGGGGAATCTTTTCTTTAAAGCCTCCAGACTCCTCTTGGGGAATTGTCAGGTTTTCTCTTTCGATGGAGACATTTCTCAGGGTTGCCATGGAAATTCAGCAGGCTCATCCTTTTCTCTGTGGAGTCCAGGACTCCCTGCGTACGTGAGACGGATGGAAACGGGCTGTTCTAATGTGTTCTAGCACGAAAGTACAAAGCACGGGTTGGGACTGTGCAATGCCCATAGCAAAGAACCACCCGCTGCCCTGTGCCCTGCAGCCTGGCAAAGACCATGCCAAGGGGCCGAGGTCTCGGAGCATGTGTGGAGGGGGTCACTTCTGGAAGGTGACACCCATAGCAGCGAGTCCTTCTTGATAACTGGGGTTCAGTTTATTCTCTGGGTCAGACTGTTAGTGAAAAGAAAGCTCATGAAGGGGGCACTGGTGCAATATGAGCTGCTGTTGGGTACAGCAGGAACTGGGCAAACACCCGGCTGGACTGCATTAGGGAATTGCCACAGGGCAAGGCAGGCTCTTGGGATCTGTATAGGCAGGGTTGCAGAGCAGCTGGAGCACTTGAAGGCTTCAGACTGTCACTTTTACAGAAACGCTTCATGGGCTGAAGGAGCTTAACTCCCACTGAAGCTATTGAGAATGATAGGTGCCTGTGGTTTCTTTGGAAAGCTGGTCCGGTGCTCTGGCTGGGAACACCTGGGGCCTGTGACTCGCAGCACAGCCATGCTAGGTGCCATATGAGGCTTTGAGCCATCAGCCCCATGCCAGAGTGGTGAACGATAGCCCTCCAAACCCAGTTGCTGCTCCTTGCTATTCTGACGGCTCCTGTCCCCAGCAGTATGGACGGATTTGAAGTTGGAGGCTCTGGTAGTGAGGGGCTCTCTGTTTTCTGGCTCCAGAGATGCTTCTATCCTTGCCCCATCTCCCTCCCTGGCTGGGTGACTGCAAGCAGCTGTATGTGTGAGTGCTAACATTCATTATAGAGCTGGGGTCTGGCTCTAAATCAGTGGTGTTTGAAGTCCAGCTTCCCCTGCCAAAGCCCAGTGCTTGTTTGATGTCAGCGTCTTTCCAGTGAGTGTGCTGGATCCCATCTGCTACGGACAGCTACCTCTTCCTAAGCTGGCTTGTGGCTTCCCCCCTACCCAGCCTGTCTCCCCTCCGATGGGGGAGCTGTTTACCCCATACGCTGTTCTCTCCCCACTTTGGAAAGTTACCTTTGGGGATGGCTGTCCTTTGCACTTGATTATCAGGTCATCCCAAACTGGTTTGATTCTTCCCCCTTCCAATGCACGCACGCACGCGCACACACACACACCCACACACACACACTTCTTCCCCTTCATTGCCAACTGACCCAGAAGCGAAGGAGTCACCCTGGCCCATGAAGAGCTATTTAACCTGTTTTCATCTGGGGGTCTCTTAGGGCGTGGAGGGGCTCTTTGGAGGTTTCTTTCCCTTTAACAGGCTTAGATTTCGCCCATTGTGCATGACCACTGGGCAGAAAGGCAGGCATTATCTTCAAAACCATCCTTTCTGACTGGCGCGTCTCGATGTGTTTCTTCTTCCACCCTTGTGCGGTGACCAGACTTGGAGACACACCCGTGCAGAGGGATGGGCAGTGCTGGCCACGGGCTGACCGCTCTGCCTCACAGCCGCATCGCCCTCCAGGACACCCTGCTGCTGACTGGCCTGGAGAAGCCGCCTGTCATACGGGACCCTGATACCTGCAGCTGGAGCTCCCTCGACAGCCCCAGCCCTCCAGCCACTCCCGAGCAGACCCTTCCTGCCTTCTACGTCCATTACTTTGACATGCTCTACTCCGAGGAGGCTGGCTGGGTGCCCAAGGGCCTGGCAGAGACTCTGCAGGGCAGCAGCCAAGGGGGACGGGGCGAGGTGCAGAAGGAGCCAGAGCAGTGCCCCATCATCGACAGCCAGGGCTTTGGGCTGAGCCCTGACATGGACTACCAGGCCAGCCTTCACCTGGAGGAGCACTCGCTGGAGCAGGTGCAGAGCATGGTGGTGGGCGAGGTGCTGAAGGACATTGAGACGGCCTGCAAGCTTCTCAACATCGCAGCAGGTGGGTGCCCTTTTCTGTCCCTTGGTCTTTGCTCTCTGGCAGGGGCAGCTCGGTGCCTGGTAGGAACCTGCAGAGCTCCAGGCTGAGCTGGGGAGTTGTCTGTCTTGCTGGCCAGCTTGGATTTAGCCAGGTGGTGGCTGGGATTCATCCCGGTCTCTCCGCTCTCGATTCAGTGCAGTGGCAGGCGTCCTGGACCCTCACACACTGCTGGGGTCTCTCTGTGGTCTTTGTTGACCTTTGTTTGGGTCCTAGCTGTCCCCCTTGCTGCTCTCAGCAGAGCAAGTGTCTAAGGGACTGGGCTCGCATCTCACACATAATGGGCAAGGCTGAGACATGTTCTCAGGGGTCTGGCCCAAAACCCTGGAAAATGCCCCTCTCCACCATCAGCTTCAGCAAATTTTAAGGTCTGGCTCTAGAGCTGACTGTCACTAGCTCGCCCTGGGATTATGGGCAGTTGTGGAATGACATGTAGGCTAGTAATCGTCCCTCCCCCTTGGAAAAGCACTCCTGTTGGAAAGAAATACAGATCAACCATTCCAGTGGTTGGCCTTGAGCAGCTGGCCACGAATAACATGCTGACATGGCAGCATCTATTGCACCTGGATCCATTGCTGAAGCAGGGTCCGACTTTTTCCAAAGGTACACAGAATGGTCCACCAGCCTACGCATGCTTTCTTACGAATGAACAGATCTTTCCCATTGCCAGCATCAAGGATGTTGTGGGATGTAGTTCATGGAGTTGGTGGGGAAGGTCTTCTCCAAGGCAGAGCAGTGCTGTGGAAAACGGTGTCAGGCTGGGTGGGGAGGGAGCAGGTTGTTGTTGTTTTTCTGTTTCTTCATCTTGTCTGATTTCCTGCTCCGGACTTGGCAGAGCATGTGGTGGAACATGCGGTATCCACCAGAACCAGCCTCTCTCAGGTGCAGGAGAATAAAGGCTGCTTGCCACTGACGTCAGTGGCAAATCTGGGTGGCAGGGGCATGAGACAGAAAACTGAGCGCAACGTGCATGAACCGCAGGGAAAGAGAGTCACGGTGAGAATGAAATCAAGGCAGCTTGTCCCTCGGAGCCAAGCGCCCTGGAGCGATGGTGCCAGGGCTGGAGTGTTTGCCCTGCCAGTCCCATCTCGGGATAAAGTCATCCTGCAGACATATCAGTACAGGAGTGGGAGAGGTCTGTGGAAGTGCATGGATTTGCCCAGCAGGCTGCCGTAGTCACGAAGGGGTTAGCTTGAAGTGGGAAGGGACAGACTAATAGAAAATGGGGTTGGGAGGGACCTCAGGAGGTCACGTCTAGTCCAACCCCCTGCTCAAAGCAGGACCAGCCCCAACTACATCATCCCAGCCAAAATTTTGTTTAGCAGGGTCTTAACAACCTCCAAGGGTAGAGCTTCCGTAACCTCTCTGGGTAACATGTTCCAGTGTTTTAATACCCTCCTAGTGAGAAGATTATTCCTAATATCCAACCTAAACTTCCCTTGCTGCACCTTGAGCCCCTTGCTCCTTGTTCTGTCATCTGCCTCCGCTGAGAACAATCAGCCACTTCAGCCATTTGCTCTTCTGATGGCTGCATCCAGCTCAGGGTCTGCGCCTGCTCCCAGGGGGATGGTGGGAGTTTTGTCACTGACTTCAGTGGGGTTGAGATGGAGCCCAAAGCATGGCCGTCATGCTGAGGCAGTGAGAAATTGCACCTTGTGGGTCCAGCAGCAACCCTGGGACACAGCAAACTGCCACTTGATGGTGCCTCTCTCTGCAACGGGGTGATAAATTCAGGGCCTGCAAACCTGAGCTGAAGATGGAGACTTCTGCAAATCAGGCTGACGGGAGCAGTCAGTTTTAACACCTACTGTGTGCTGGTGGGAATGGCACATGGCAGCAGGGGGCAGGTCTGCAGGTGCGTAAGGCCAGGGAGCGAGGAGGACGGTACTTCATGTAGCAATATGCGGCAAGCGCAGGCAGGGAGATCAGTGGTTCGCATGAGATGCATTTCTCTGCAGCGATCAAAGTGGGGTCAGTTCCTCAGCTGGAGTGAGTCTGTAGGGCTCTGGGAATTTACACCAATTGACAGTCTGCCCCTCTTACATACCTGGGGTCATATAAAGATCCCTGTGGGGTTTTTTTTGCTGAGGGTGGAGCATGGACCTGAGCTGCAGCCCCTGGCCCAAGTGCCCGTGGAGTTTTGCTGAGCCCAGAACCACCACAGGACTGCGGCTGAGTCCATGCTTCCTCCTCTACCTTCAAAGTTTGCCCTCCCCCTGGCTCCTGTGACATCTCCAATCACCCAAGTGCAAAGAGCCACTGAGACATTAAGGCTTTAATAGTTAACACTGCTCTAGGCCCGTCTCTGACAGAAATCACTGCAGGTCTTGTGAAGTTGGTGAGACTCCGCTGATGCCTCTCTCCTGCAGCCAAGTAAAGCAGGTTGTCGGTCTCTCCTGGGCGCTCCGGTGGCAGACGCAGGCTGCAGGCAAAGCCAGGCTGTGCGTTCCCCAGCCAGGTGCTCTGTCAGAGGGCCCTGCCGTTTCCCGAACAATGGAGATGGGAACAAAGGGAATTGACAGGCAGAGGAAAAATGTATCCCTTTAGGACAACTAGCCCTTCGAACAGGTCGTACTGCTATTGCTTTCCGCTGCGGACGCACGGGGCGCGCACGCTCTGCGGGGAGCGTTGCTTTGGAAGGGAGCTCTCTGGCTGGGTTCGGTGCAGACGGATGGGCTCCTTGCAGCTGGAGCTGTGCGAAGCCAGCTTCTGATGCCTCTCTCCCTCCACCCACAGGCTTTGAGAGCTGTTGTCCGAGGTGGGATTCTCCTTGAGTGGACGTAACGTCGTAGGAAAGGGACTTGGTTTCTAGGGTGCTTGGGGCAAAAAAAAAACCAGGCTGTGAGCACAGGGAGCATAAGACCCATCGTCCTTTCAGTCCTGTATTTCTGATGAAGTAGGTTGAGACGGGACGGGCAGCTCTCCTATGAGGATCACTGCTTGCCCAAGCCAGGGATGGGAGCTGCCACTGGAAGGCAGAAGCCATGCTCCCTGCTCCCATGACCCTTGCAGAGCAAGCTTTGGAGGGGAGAGGGGTCCTCAGGTCCCCACTCACCAGGGCTCCTGGGGGTGCATCTGTCTCTCTCTCAGACCCAGCAGACTGGAGTCCAGGAAACGTCCAGAAGTGGATCTTGTGGACGGAGCACCAGTACCGCCTGCCCCAGATTGGGAAGTCCTTCCAGGAGCTGTCGGGGAAGGACCTGTGCGCCATGTCTGAGGAGCAGTTCCGCCAGCGCTCCCCGGTGTGCGGGGATGTCTTGCATGCCCACCTAGACATCTGGAAATCGGGTACGAGCTGGCAGGTGGGGAGGGATCAGCCAGGGTTCAGCAAGAGCTGAAGACTCGTTAGTGCTGACCTGCCCGCATGTTCTCCAGGGGTGTTTGGGCCTCTCGATTTTATCTGCTGCTTGGGGCAGGTGGGGGATTCTGCTCCCCTGCATGAGGGTCGTGCTCTGTGTCACCCCCAACCTCGTTCCCTTGCAGCTGCCTGGATGAAGGAGAAAGTGGGGCCAGGAGAAGTGCGATACTGTGGTGAGTTCTCTTGGGTCGTGGGCATTGCTTCCAGCCAGGAAAGGGGCCGGGGGTTCGACAGTGATGTTTCCCTTTTTGGTGAGGTGGTCGCAGTTATGTGAAGCATCACCTCTCTTCCGACCATGCTACACGTGTTATCATAACTAATTATGTGAGTGGTAGTTTTACTACACTCTTAATTAGTCCCTAGCAGCCAGGTTAGTAAGCCCAAAGGTGGTGATTGGTTCTGTCTCTAGCTTTTGTGACCCCATGATCTGAGCACCTTGTGATCTGTACCATGTTGGTCCCCCTGGGAGGTAGCCCCATCTTAAAGAAAGGGATACGAGGCACAGGAAGATGAAGGTCCAGGTCTTCCAAGGTATTTGGGAGCCGAGTTCCTGCTGAAAGGCCTGGTAAGGTCCTGTCAGGGGTGCACAGGAAACATGCGGTAGACTGTGGCTCTGTGAGTCTCAGACTAGTGTTCCCACTGCCAGGTCCTCGTCCCCGGGATCAGTAGTGAGGACTTTCAGCCGCTAAGGACCTGGGTGTGGTTTGTACCAGCAGACCAAAGACAGCAGGCTCCTCCCGGCCCCAGGACTGTCCATTCCTCTGCTGGCAATGATCAATTAACCCCTGGGGTCTGATTCCTTCCTGCTGCAGCGAGTGACGAGAGCTGGGCGGACAGTGAGGTGGACTCCTCGTGCTCGGGCCAGCCCATCCACTTGTGGCAGTTCCTCAAAGAGCTGCTGCTGAAGCCTCACAACTACGGACGCTTCATTCGCTGGCTCAATAAGGAGAAAGGTGAGCGAGACTGGTGGGGTGGGGCCTCGGTCACCTCCTGCGTCCATGGTAATGCTCCTGGACCCCCTGCAACGACAGGAGCTTCCCCAGGCTCTTGGGATCACTCCTACCACCAGTCCACATTTGGCCTCTTCTGCTCTTTTTGCACTTAGACAATCCAGCCCCAGTTCATATTGGTACAGGCAAGATCAGACCAGGCCCTAAGCTGAGGGTATAGCTCTGTAGGGTGGAGCAGCACGGTGTAACTCTCATTTCCTTTGCTGCATACAGTGATGCCGATCCCAATTCTTTGTCTGTTACTCACACTGTAGGAAGCATCTGTTATATGCATGTTGGCAAAGGGTATAGGAGCTCTTCAACCCCACTGGTAACCTAATGCACTCAGTTGACCTTCATCATGGGGGAAAGTGGCTAGCAGCCATCTGTGTCAAGACTTCTAAAGGAGCTCTGCACTGCCTGGGTCCTGTCCATGTTTTAGCAGGATAAGGTGCTTTGGAGACGCAAGAGGAAGCACAAAAAGCTTAGGGAGCTGTTCCTGTAGTAAATAAGCCTCGTTTACACTGAGTTCAGGCAAGTGCAAAGGCCCAGGAGTACACACTTACCAGAAATCGGTGTGCGCTGCGTTGGTGATTCAACCTAGATACAAATCTGAGTGACACATTCTTTCCCCATCTCCACCCTTGGCCAGGGGCTGGGAGGGAAAGTGGGTTGGTTCACAGAGCTGCTGGGAAACTTGTCCCTCATTTCTCTTCTCTAACTTCCTTCCCTGAACTGAGGTGCCAGTCACAATCTGGAGGCTTTCTTTTATTATCTATATTCCAGCACTGCTCTACAGCCTGCTCCCATTGTGCTCGGAGCTGTATCTATGCAGTGTCCCAGAGCCAAAGGCTTTACAAGGCAGATAAAGGGTGGGAAGGGAACTGGCTTCTCCAAAGTCATCCAGTGAGTAGATGACAAAGCTGAGCTTCTTGGTGGCCATGGGTCATACACTTGCATCCTATCTCCCCATTTCCTTTCTCCCTACTTAGGTATATTCAAGATTGAGGACTCTGCCCAGGTGGCACGTTTGTGGGGGATCCGGAAAAACCGGCCAGCCATGAACTATGACAAGCTGAGCCGCTCCATCCGGCAGTATTACAAGAAAGGCATCATCCGGAAACCGGACATCTCCCAACGCCTGGTCTACCAATTCGTACACCCTGTCTGAGCGCGGGGGCTGGAGGAGGGGGAACTGACTGAGCACCTGGAGGGAGGGAGGTCTCTCTCACCGCTGCACCTCCCATGCCCTTCCAAAACCACCACCAAGAAAAACAGATGAAGCCTTGGGTTGTGCAGGAGGCTGGAAACCCAGCAAACCTCCCTGATGAACCTCAGAGCTTCCAGCCTCCCCCAAGCCACAGAGCATGTGTGTGGGGGGAATGGACCCCCATAGATAGGAAGACACCACAACTAGCAACAACTGCCCATGAAATAGAGTGTATACATGTAATTCTGGGGCCTACGGATGTGTGTAGAGAGTCCTCTGCTCCCGCTAATGAGCTTCAGGGTTGGGGGAGAGGCAGGCTTAGACGCTGGGTAGGGGCAGGGGTGCAGACCTGACCATTGTGGATGAGGCTACAGTGTGTGTGGGGGGAGGGAGGGGGTGGTTGTTAACAGCTACTTGGACCTGGAAGTCTTTGGCTGTGTGACCTGCCACATAGAGCAGAGCAGAGCAGCCGGGTGCAGAACCCAGGACCCATGGCCTCCAAGTCCCTTGCGCTGAGAGGGGGAAGAGGCATTGAGGTAGTGATCCGATAGCGGGTCTGTCCTCTCCTCTTCTGGGCAGTGGCCAGTACCGTGTGCTTTGGGGATACGATATCCAGCCCCAGCTAACGTTTCGTCCTATCTCCCCTCAGTTACTGGTTGGTTTATGCCCAAAAGAGATGGACAGCTTCACCAAGACTTAAGTCAGATTCGGCTGCTGCTCAGGTTGTAGCTTCCCCTTCCGGGCAGGGGACTTCTACAGCATCATGACTTTGCTTGTCCTGAAAAGTCCCCAGGGAGAAATTGTCCCAGCACTTCTCCTAGCCTGGCTCCTTCCCGGTCAGCACCAGGTCCTTGCAGGGGCAGGGAAGAGGTTCACCTCCCTGCATCCACCAGGGATCTTTCATCCTGGAATAGCTCTTATCACTAAAGGCAGATCTGGAAAAGGGCTGGTGCTCTATCTGGGGCCCCTTCCCTGAAGGGTCAGTCCTTTATCCATGGTAATTCCTCCTAGTTGGTTGGTTCCAGTATTAACCAGAGGCCGTGTCACTTGGTGGGGTGCCCCTTCCATGATGCATCAATAGTCAAAGAATGGCTTTCACTCAGGCAATTTTCCCATCTTCTTATCCATGACCGATATGGCAATGCTCCCATAGCCACGCCCAGCCTTGCATGGCATTGCATGGCTCAGAGGGTCTCGGGGCTGTGGCAGGGCTCCCAGCCAGAAGAACCAAGGAGGCTCTTTTGGAAATGCAGGTGCTAGAGGGGGGCATCCACTGCCCTGCCATCCTGGTTTGGTCTCTCGGCACCAGGGAAAAGCCAAGATAGCCGGTAGCATTTGCTGCAGTGTGACAGCCTCGCACTGGTCTGGCTGCCCAAGGACCCTTCATCTTTATCTTCCTGTACCCTAGACTCCCCACGTCTCGCCTCCCCCTGAGAAACCCAGTAGCCATTTTCTGCTCTGCCCCTTGGCACCATTTTGGTACCAAGGGGCCAGATTGCAAAGCTGGTTACACTGGTACAAACCTGGAACCTGCCTTTGAGCTGCTTCTGGGATGCTCTGGTTTTGTGCCAGTGTAAACAAACCAGAATCGAGCCCTGAGTGTTACTCTGGGGTCAGTCCTGCTGCTGCCTACCCCAATCATTCTCCTCTTGATGTTGCTGAGAGCAGCCACAGCTGTAAAGGAAAGGAGACCTTGGCTCCTGGAGGGGATTTCTGGTCGGTTGCTGGGGACTTAGTGGAGAACCAGCGATGGACTGACTGGGCCAAACCGTGCTGATGAGCTATGATTTGGGATCAGATCTGAAGGGACTGAACCCAGCTAGTTTCTCCTAGAACAGCTGCAGTGACCATTTTCTGGTATTGTTTGTGAAAGGACAGAGTCACCCCTGTGCGGTGTTGTGAGCAAGGCTCACTTGAGAGGAAAGACAATAGGATTATACACGGCAGCCTTCTGCCAGGGCTCACACTGACCCGAGGCTGGAACATGCTGGCACCTGGCCACATCAGGAGGCCAGCTGGCCAAGCCGCAGGCTAGCACTGACAAGCTTTTCTGAGTAGCGCAGAGTCCGCAAGCCACGTGGTACGCAGGAGAGCTTGCTGGCTTGTGCTTGTACTTCCTAGATGGCTGGGCTGATTGGCAGAGACTATCAATAGTAGGTTGATCTCCTGAGCAAGAGCAAGCTGCAAACAAAGCTGGACCCATCGATTTTTGCATCCTTGTGTGCTGCTCTCCTTTCTTTTTCTTTTTTTTT